ATTTTGGCGCCGGAGCTTGCTTGGGTGCCGAGTTGAAATACCCGGACAGACGCACACACACACATATACACACACATACACACATACACACACACCGGGGTCGTCGTAATATGCGTTTTCGCATTTGCATATTGTGCAAAAACGCATAAAAATGGATGTGAATTAGTTTTAGTTTGCAACTACGCACACTGTATTGAAAATTAGCTCCTGGTTTTCTTAGTTCAAAAGTAGATTTGACTGGGCAGACAGCTGCTTTTGCCTAAACAGACCGAATCTTGCCATGGTTTGCTTTTTAGTTTAACACACGCAATGGTACCATGCAGAGTGAACAAAGTCAGTTGTGAATCTGAAATTTGGGCGCTTTTCAACAATGCAAAAATGAAAAAGTTATCACAGTGAAGTGCAGTTAACTCTTGCATGTCTCGGCGCATCGCGAAGTCACAAAATTTTATCGGAAAAACGTTTGCCCACCAGTCAATTTCGTGCACTTTTCCTTTTTTTCCGTCCTTAATTCTTTTTTTTTTTTCGCTATTACGGTAAAACCATAAAATTACGAACCACATTTTGTTCGTCTCCGGCACCACTAACAGCTGGCGTCACAATTGAATACACAATACTAAAAAGTACGTTCCAGCTTGCTTTTGAATCATTGGCCGAAGCAATATACAGACCTTCGAGGTTGTTGCCACCTTGGATGAAGTCAACGTACACATCAGGCATATCGTACTGGCAGGGACCGCTCATACATTTAAGCAGCTGAAACTGATTGCCTGACTAGAAGTAGACAAAATATCGCACATTCATTTCTAGGTATTTTGGCATCCCCGATGCTGCACAAAAGCACTTTACCTGTGTTACATACCTCTAGCTAGGACCCACCGCTTATTGGATATATGTGCGATATGCGCGACCTCTTCGGGGCCGGCCAATTGGTCATTTGCTTTCTCGCGGGTACCACCACTAGTGCTCGACATTCACTGGCTATTGACAAGGTGGGCAAATGCCCTACCAGGAGGTTTCCCCCGGCTGCATTGATTTCCTGCAAGCCATTCATGTGACGTAAAGCCCGATTGTTTTTATGACCACGAAAGAAATACACCATGTATTCTTTGTGTCATTGCCAGCATTTGCTCATCAGCTTTCGTGCATGGCTATGTTTCGCATCTGTACGTCACTACCTTCACCATAGCGTTACTGAAGATGTGAACACGGTACTTTCGCCAACCGCCTTTCGTTGTCTCCTGCTAGAGATTGTGGTATATACTTAATTCTTCTAAAATGGGCACAGCTGTCAATTTCCTAACTCCACATCGCCCATCTGCAGTCTCGCCGTGAGCGCACCCGGACTTTGCATCAGCTTTGTCTTCGACACTTTAATTTTTGGATTCACTTTTTCATGCGTTAGGTTCACTTCTTCATGCGTCCACTTATTCGCGTGCCTCACTTATGTCGTGAGAGTTCCTCGCAATAAAAACTAAGCCATTCGCAAAGCACTGATCCCCGTCGATTTCCAGACCGTCTTTCCAATTCCAGTTTCGAAATATCACCTCGGACAGACCATGAAAAGCTAGTGCTGTAGCTTAGGCGATTGTTTTGCCTGATTCACTCCTCGATCAGCACACTGACCGGCGTAGGAAAAAGTGTTATTTATGCCGATTGCTTGACCAAACACTTCCTATCAATCCCTCCACCTATAAGAACTCGTAACACTGCATTCAGTTTCAGGCTTTCAAATGTTTTTCGTGATCGAAGAATAGGGGACATACTGGGAGTTGATACCTACGTGCGCAAGAGACTTAAAATTATTGTCGTAGTGCTTGCTGCTGGGTATTTAAAAAGCAGAAGGCTATGTATGTCAAAAATAGTTGAAAGCAGTAAGCAAGAAATGCTGCTAGTTCGATCCAAAATCAAACACTAACACAAAGGATGAAAATCCTGCACGAAATTTGGGTTAATAATCAGCGGAATTACCATGACAGCTTCTTAGTTTGGCATTTTTTATGTACGCGACTCTTCCTCTCAGTTTTTAAGCGTTTCGTACATTTATGAAAATGCAGCCCAGGTTGCGTCGAGCGACGTATGTCAGTGAGATCATACGTGCTTGCACGATTTTGTGCGTACTGAGATTGCTTGGACTCACACATATCGTTATAACCTCAGAAAATTTCAGCTTCTTAGTTTGGCCAACTCCTAAAATCGCTTTTCTGCCTAAAATAGTTTGTCATGCCCGCTTGTCGGTATAGGCATACGCGAGAACATTTGCTGTCTACACGCGAGTTCGTATACTTTACGTATACGAACTCGCGTTTAGACAGCAAATGTTCTCGTAAAATCTGAGAGACTTACTGAACATAGCTCTAGAGCTGGCATTTTGTCAGCTATTGCGAAATCGCAACATTGACGTGCCCATTGTATGCGCGCGCTCGAGCTGAATTTAAAATTTTTAGCCCACATAAGGGACAGAATATTCGTACAAAGTTTCAGCTTTTTACCTTGTCTGGTACCTGAAATTCTTTTCCCGCCAAAGCTTTACACAAATTTTTAGGCATCAGCGTGCGGAACCCAGGCGTACGTGGGCAGTGGTTTTAAGAATGTAACGTTGCACATGGAGTGGAAACACGTTCCAAAAATCTCAACCTGGCGCAGCGCTACAGCGCTGCTACAGTCAGCAAAAAGGCATATTATCGAGAGGTAGTCTGTGTCTATTCAGAAGCGAGCGAGCTTCGTCACCCGCTTTCGTCTCAGCAGTTAGGAAAGCTGAAAGGCTGAAATTTCAAGTATATGTTCTTATTCTGTGTGCCATTCCCCGTTTTAAAATTTTCGCTCATACGCACCTAAATGCCGCGTATAGACCCCCGATAAAAATATGCGAATTTCTTTGGCGGGAAACGATTTCGCGAACCAGGCAAAGTACAATGCTGAAAATTTGCAGGAATATTCTCTGTATATGTGCGAGCTAAAGATTTCAAATTCAGCTTCGCGAACCCTTGTGCAGCGCATACGACCACGTCAAAGTTTGCAACTTGGTACTGTGCTAACTCGAAAAATTGCCAGAAAACAGTAGCTGAAATTTTTTCAGCATATTTATCACCCACATGGGAAATCGTATACCTGAAGTGAGTACCGGTTTGCACTTGCGTCACGAATTAGGGCATTTTAAAGATGTTTGTATCAAAGTGACTACTTCACTTATCGGATAAGGTGCGAAGCTGAAACTTCGCTGGGATATTCTACTTTCAAGTGCAGTCTCAGTTCTGCTTGGAAATGAAATTCCTTGCAACTGGGCGTGAGAAATACTTAACTTTACCAAAAAATCAGAAACGAGTGCTTTTTGCAGCCAACTACCGCCCTCATCCTCATGCAATATGTAAATGAACTCATCTGCAAATTTAGATTTTTGGCGAACGTCCACTCTAACGGCATTTCCGCTTTTCAGTGAACAGGAAATTTGCATTTTTTATTTTCTCAAAAAGTGAGCATTTACCGAAAAAACGACCGGACTTCATGCAAAACCTAGGCTGAAACGCACCAGGCGAGCCGGTGCGATCATGCGTTTTTGCACAATACTTGAATTAGGTCAA